ATCATACGGGGTCCTGCAATGTCCCTGCAGCTCCCCTGCATTAAAAGCATTTGTTTTGACTACAAAACAAATCAAGCTAACTCTGGAGCTGCAGGCAATCCACACTTAGTGAGGGGATCCTTGGCATCTTCTGTGAAAGGGTATGTAGGATCTAAATTCAAATCCTGTGGCTCCTGATCACTTTTATTATTTATCATTAAGAATAACAAATGGTGYTTAAACTGTACTTTGAAGTTTCAAAGCACTTTATCAACATTAATACCTGAACACATCATCTTTCTCTGGTGCTCATCTGGAAATGCATCAAAAATTGTAATCRGACTGAAAAAATATTGTAATTTTAAAAACAACCAAAGGAACTTAAATCAGGAGGAATGAGCAAGAGAAAAAGATASGGAAAATTAAATTGAATTGTTGCAAAATTAAGTCATGGGTAGAGTTCTTACCAGCTGTCTGCCCAACGGCCAGTGCTGTGACATAAGTGACATAGAACAGATTTTCCCCTTGCAATATTACTCCACAGACCTCGGAGACAATAAATTCTAGACTTTTGCACTGGTGAGTGAAGATCTGGGCCCTTCCAAAGTGTGTGCCAGAACTGCCTGCTGTTGTCTTGAATAGCAGAGCACAAGACCAAATATGGGTCTGCAACTGTGTATTGCTGGTGAATTCAACAACAAATTTATTCATCTATCAAGGAATATGCAAGTGGAAGCAAATATTATGGCCATGTTCATTTGTTTCTGATTACGAAATGTATGTAAATGTATATGCAAATTAAGTGCAAGCATCAGGCTCACSGCAAAGTGCCAAACTATCCCTTAGTGTTACCAAGATTGGGGGGGCTGGCAGGGAGCTACAGGGGCTGCAACTGAGGCTAAGCAGGGACTTCAGACACAGCCAAGGCTGAGCTGCTCCCAAGGGGCAGGAGGAGGATAAATCCCACAGTAACTTGTCACTTTAAACGAAGCTGAGAGGCTATAGAAATATCTGTTCCCGATGCAGTTAAAAGTGTGATAATTACAGAGCAACGGGCTCCTCTGTCATTCAGCAGGCAGCATCCCCAGGAAATCTTGCACTGTAATCAAGGGAAGAGGTGCAATCAAGCCCGTATTCAGGCTTCGTTTAGAAACAGCCCCTGCAGGCTACACAAAGGCTTCAGCATGGTGCTTTGTGAAGTTGGTGATCAACGCCTTGGTTCTGCAACTACAAGCAGAGTTAATGTCATTTCTAGGCACATCTTCTCTTCACCTTTCTTCACAAAGTCCAGAAGAAGTCTTGGAGGAAGGGTGAGAGTTTAGGCCAAAATACTCTGTACAGACAGTGTTACATTCACAGTGTCCACATTTGTGAGCTCACTCTACRCAGCAATTRTCAGACAAAGAGAAAAYTTCTTGCAGACTGACAGTGTGATCCTGAATGAGCAGATATGAACTGYCTCACCTGGCTTCAGCAGCAGCTCRGCTTGCAAAATTTGCATGGGGGACRTTTTCTTGTTYGCTTGTTTGTTTTTCTTTTTCCAGAAATATGAATGTACCTGTGATGATCAAATTCTACAGAAACCCCATTCTCTTGGCAGCAGCCTGATCCCACAGAGACTGATGAGGTTTATTAGAGGGGAAGATGTCTCTGAGTTCAGCTTTCATGTCTAATGCTACCATTGCCCAGAAACAGACAAACTAATTGCTACTCAATTGAGCCATCCTTTGTACCTTACAGAACTGTCAGTTGCAGTGAACCAGTTTACTCCAACTGCAATAAAAACAGTCTTACATTTTATTCAAAACAGCCAAACCTTCCAAAGTGCACGCATTTGCACTCCCAGTGTGCAAACTCAGACCCAGAAAGCGTACATTACCCATCTGGGCATGTGACTGCCACCATGTATGCAATCCTGCTAACTCTGGGTGCACATGAAGTGSCAAAATTTTTTTGCACATTGGGGGCACATTCTGGGCAGGATTCACAGTTTAATCTCAGTAGGGAATGGTTGTTCTCTGTTGACATTCACCGTAGCTGGAACCGCACTTGGAGTTCCAGCAGCCTCTAATACTGCAAATGGAGCTTCATTCCGTCACAGTACAGAATCAGCAGGTTCCATTCTCTATTTGCTTCTTCCATCTCTGGTCACAAAATAAATGAGTTTGCTATGGTTTTACCATCTGCAGACAGAAGTATCAGTCAATAGCCAAGTAATGGCTTGGGCACTGTCAAGAGAACTCATTATTAAAAAGGTACATATTACATTTAGCTGTTCAAACAGAACTTGTTATTGATCAGATCCCATCAGTTCCCAGCAGAAGAGCCAACTCTGGTGATGAAATGAAAATACGCACATAGACTACAGACTAGTAAATACCGTAATGGAGTTCAGGATCCCCCCAAAAGGGAGTTGGTGGTACCCAGTCGAAAGAGCAGTCTTTTTCAAAAGTGAGACTGAGRATAAAATAACCATGTTACTTCTGCATATATCCTGAGGCAGAAAAAGGAAACAAAACAAAATGGAACAGTTTGACAACAAACATCTCAATYTCTTGGGGAAAAAAAGCAAACAAAGAAAATACAAATTGTTTAATAGCCAATCAAGCCACAAGCAGGAAGAGCCTGTAACCAGTTCTGCCATTCCTGACACATCCTACTGTTTATCTATGGAGATTTTGCCACATTTGCAGAATTGAAAGATATCTTAAGAGTTTGCTATACTCTTCATAGTCAGATAAAAAGGTAGCTATACTTAATTTGGTTCCTGGGTCTTTTTCTTGCCACTTTTCTTTGTCTGCTTGTTTCCACTTATTAAAGCCCCTTTTCTTTTGGTTTTCCCATTCATCTGCACAGACACTTTAACATTTTTCAATTACAGCATTTGACACACAGAAATCACCACTGATACAGTATAAAGGAGGCAGAAAACAAAGCTGGATATAAAATTCTAACATAAACCAAATATACACCATTTAGTAATACAGGAGAAAACAAGAAGAACCAAAAAAATGACTGTTCGTGGAAATCTCTACATTTGATCCATTGGAAAAGTTCTCTGCACAGCATCTTCTCTGAGAGTGAATAGACCCCAGGTAACAGTGAGTTAAAAATGTTTGCTTAAGAAGGCACATCGTGACAAACTTCTTTGCTCACCCTTAACAGCAGGTTGGGCTGGAAACTGATGAATCACTATAGGAAACAAACAGCAATGGTGACTCACGGCTTCAAATGGTAACAATAGCACTGCTTTATCCATGGTGTCTACAACAAAAATATCACTGGATTCATTAGAAGATGTATTTCAGATTGTTCCACCCACGCAGGAAAYGCAGAAAGTCCACCATCCAAGCCCTGGTTAGAGTTCTCACAATTGCCCCACAGGTACGTGGAATTCCTGCTCACTTACAGTACTTTCTCAAGATGAGCACTGAAACCCATGTGCTSCTGATGCCTTGAGCAGCTCCCTGAGGAGTCTGGATCATAAACCCAGCAGTAGCAAGAGCCCTTTGTCTTTGTSTTTCAGGATTCACATGCCTGTGTGGCTCTTCCAATCTACCATAGCTGGCATTTAGACCTGAGGTGTGCTTGTTCGAGGATCTGGCCCAGTGGCCACGCTCCTGAACTGCCTGGTCACGCCCACAAGTCTCTCCAGCCCCACATAACTCATGGCTCAAGAACAGAAGGTAGCTCTGGCTCACGAATGGTTTGGACCAATCAGGTCAGAGCAAATAGCCAGGAAGAATTCTGCTGTTCAACACTTCACAGGCTCACACCTCCTGTCCAATGCTCAGGTACTGTTATTCTATTATTTGGATATGAAGCCAACTATTCTGTTATGATTAAAATCACCTTAAAATGAATGCACATATGGATGCTATGTTTATTTTCCAAAACTTCCTTTCCTATAAAAACATGCTTGCTTCTCCATCTAAACTGCAAACTTAGAGCTATAGSGCTTTTTACTTAGATATCAAGAGTATAGGGTGTTTTCAACACTTCTCACATTGTACAGACTAAATTCTGGTTAATCTAGTTTCACTGCCAAAAGAAGTGAACAAATGGTAGCTGTGAAAAYATATTATTGCAAATATTTCCATTCTGACAAAATTTCAGGTTGTCTTTTTTTTCCTTGAGATGGATACTTCCTGCCCAGGTTTCATCTCTGGTTTAAGCTCAAACTGTGGTGTTTAAAGCCAAATGCCATAAATAATGTTGTGATGAGATTCTCAAATTCACATAGGGATTTTCAGTTGACTTACTTAAGTCTCCTGCACATACAGAGTTAATTTCCATTGCACTGCTAAAGACCAAAGGAAAAACCTGAAATACACTTCATCATGTGTTTGGCATGACTAAAAACTTTCAAACTCAAATTCTAAAAGAGAGTACCAATGCGGAAACATGCAAATCCCTCTTCCCTTTGTAACACTAAGATCAATCTAAAAAGAAATTTAAGCAATTTAATCAAGGATGCTAAAACAATCAAGGTGTCATTCAGTGATTAGTATGCAGGCAATTGAAGGGAAACACGGGGCTTCCACAGGCCAGCAACAGCTAACATCAAGTAAGTATACAATGTCCTGTTAATCAGTTATCTTAGCCATACATACATGGCTCCTGTTTGCTGACACTTCACTCACTCAGTTTTTAGGGACACGAGTCACTGGAATTCACCCAGCCAGTGTAGTTTGCTTTTCCCAACACTAACCTAAGGTACTTCTCAGGTTTGTTTACCCATTTATGTTCTCTATCTTTATTAATAAATTGCTGATGAAATGAATGATGATGATGAAAATCTGTCCATGCTACAAGTGCAACATCCTTTATGAAAGGCACTTGTTGCAGTTGCTCACACTCTATTTCCGTTTCATTACTTTCAGCTGGAAAAAGAATGGTGAAACTTGAWTTCCTCTGACAATCATTAGCTGGAATAAGAACTCTGTCATAGTCCTTCTAACAACAAATTAACTCTTTGGATTGAGTAACGATCAATGGGAAGTAGGGAAGTATTCTCTTACCTTCAGAACACAGCTTGCCAGCATATCCAGTGGCTGAGCAGTCACAGTGTGGCTCGCCATCCAGAAGGAAGCAAGTGCCACCATTTTCACAGGGGTTTTCTGAGCAAAGTCCTTCCATTTCCAGTCGGACCCCTTGACTGCCCAAGAGTTGCGGCTCAGAATTGCCATATTTCAGATCCAAGATAAATCCTTGAAAGGGAGGCTCACTCAGAACACCATCAAGAGTCAAGGCAGCAGGGCGAATGTCCAGTGGGACTCCACCAATAAAAAGGTCACTGACGATATTCATAKACTGGCGCTGCGGACGCACTTCACCCGGCTTGGCTTCCCCGTCCAGCACCAGCACCGTCCGAAGGTGGTTGCGGCTGACCATCAGGAAGTGCCAGTTGCTGTCGTTCACCTGCTTGTCTGTGATAACTGTCGTCTCCGCACAGTCCACGCTGAACTGCAGCTGGATGCGCCCATCAACAAGGGACAGACAGAGGAAGTCACAGACACCACCATCGTCAAAATAGAGAAGCAGCCCGGCAGARACATTGGTCTTGAACTGGAAGCTGAGTTCGCTCCTAGTGCTGGCATCCCAGCGGAGGTAGCGGGCCCACTGGTTGGGAATGCCCATGAACTCCAGACCCAAACAGAGACCCAGCAGGGAGCCCAGCAGCAAACTCACCTTCAAGGTGAAGTAGACAGAATGCAGAGTAAAGCCCATTGTTGCAAGAATCTGCTCTTCCCTCRGAGAAAAACAGAAGCCACACTACTGGGAGGAGAATCCCAGCAGTCAAGACTGAATATTAAATCCAAGAGGAAGAGAAGAAGCGCAGAAAGAGTAATAGAGGGTGGGAGAGTAAGTGGAGAGTGAGACAGCAAGTGCACGTGGCCAAGAGAAAAYGTCTCCTTCCAAGGAAAGATCTCAATTATCCTTTAGGAACCAGAGGATTTTATCTCGAAGTACGGGATATATGAAGGGATTTCTCCAGATGGCGCACTTCTCTGAAGGGCAGAATAACCTGTWGTGATTTGTTTTGGTAGAACACAAAGGTGACACTGGTGTTCCAGGAGGCAGGAAAGGCAGAGCCAAAGCCCAAGCCTAAAATTCTTGTTTTCTAGAAGTGATGACAATATTGAAGGAGATGGCAGTGAGACAGAAGACAGAATGAATTCATAAAGCACATGAGCTTCAAGAGGGCAAAAATAAAGTCAATCTTCATGATGCTCTGGTGGATACCCAGCCCATAATTCACTCCTTGGCACTCACGGAGCTTGCAGACCTGTGGGGTCAAGACAAAAAAAAAGAAAGRGAAAAGTTAATCTTACTGCTCACCATATCTTTACCATGAAGCTTACTAACATCTTGTCCGATAACTCATTTACATTTCTTGATACTCTAGACACTTCTTCGTGCTTGCAATAGGCTGTACAATTCTCAAAAGCAGCAAGGACATCTATGTCCCCAAAACTAAGAGGCCAAAATAGAGAACTCATCAAGTCATCTGCACATGTAACAACAATGAGCAATGTAAAAACACACCAAATTAYTTACGTCCTTTGATGAATGCAATCTCATTGACTTTACTGAGAAATGGKTCTGGAGCTTTCCCAGTAAAAACTACCTCTCCATGAAAATGCTTAGGGCAAAGACCAGACTTCCTTAGAGTTTAAAGGTTGGTAAGGGCCAGAGAAGGCATTATCCAAATTTCCCATTCCATGGCTTACATTATGCTTCCAAGCACACCAAGCAAGCATTAGAAAAGAAAACCCTGTCAGCCGTCACACAATAGCTGATTTTASTTTGCATGTCTTGCATACTTCAGAGACTTTAAAAAGCATCTCTGCAACCTGGAAACATGTGCTTTGCAAATTATATATGGCAACCTGCAGCTTAGATGATAGCAAACTTGTAGCTCAGACCCTAAGAACAGTTTGAGTGCTTCACTGCTTACCCTAGTCTAGTGGTTTGGCAAAAACCACCCCAAATTAGGAGCAAAGAATTCTAATTTACTTCAATGAGTTRCATCTGTTAACACTGGGATTTAACTCACTTCTGCATATTTGCATGTGGGTGACTGACTGTGTGCCTGGTGTAGGAGGATGTTTTAAGTGACAAGTAAAGACAGCATAAAGCWAGGCTCATTCTTTGAAAATTCTACCTAAGAAGAAAGTAAGTTTTCTATTAACACAGGTGTTTGTTCACAAAGATGAGTTGGACATAAGAACAGCTCTGGGAATGGCTAACATCAGCACAAATACAAAGCAAGAAAGGAGATGATGAGAATCAAGGCCTTCAGCCTCACAGAAGTCAGCATGAACACAGCTTCCACAGAGTGGAAACACAAGGATTGTGAGGCAATATTTGCTTGGGAAAAGTGTTTTGTGCTGCAGATGAGAGGTGCTGGGGCTGCTGCTGTTCACAGCTGATGCCTTGCAACCCCATGGCCCATCTTGCTCTGAAGGAGAAGGAACGCAGACACTGCAGCAGTGGGCAGTGCTGGAAAGTTTCAGTTTGGTAAGGRCAGAGTTGAACTGGAGGAGAATCASTAAAAAACAGAGGGAGACCTCACACAGCCACATCCTCACCTGCCTCAGGGACCCGCAGGAGCCATAACTCTCCAGAGCTGTCAGTCTGACACATTAAGCCAGCACGAAAAACAAGTCACTTAGAAAACAAAAGGGATCAATTAAAAGAAAAGCCACAAGTTGGAGAGAAATTTGAGCTTTCAGTGCCCAGTGGAAACCAGGCCTATTCCCTGCAGCTGCCTGAGTGGAGCATGTTTGCTAAACTGCTATAAACACAAATAAAATCAAGTCAAAACCAGAGGGAAGATAATTCCTTTTAATTGTTAACAGCTTGGCTGAGGAGAATAGGAGGTGGAAAACAAGAGGTATTAGGAGAGGTGTAAAAGGATCAAAAAAAATAGACATAGAATTTAATTGCTAAAATAATCTGTTTTSCCAATAATAAAAATTGACTAAGTTCATGGGATTTGGGGGAGTGGGTCCTGAAAAATTAATTGAGAAAAAAAATTGTGGGGTTCTTGTCCATTTACCTTTCTTCTCTGTGCTAGTGGTTCTTCTCTTCCACTAAAATAGCCTATGATTTATGGAGAAGAATAGAGTGAGAGAAMGGTAAGAGAGAAAGTGATGACCCAAGCCTGGAATTACTGAGGAGATGGGAATAGGAATATCATAATGTGTGTAAATTAGCCAGTGATGTGCTTCCAGCAGCTCACAGCTTCCTGGACCATTTACTACAACCACGGAAAAATTCGCTACTCCATCAGACAGCTCTGTGCTCAGCCTGAGCTGAGAGGGGAGACAAGCCCAGCATGGCAGCAACCATCCACAGAGACCCCAGTGCAGCAGGGCTCTCATCCCAGCTTTTAATTCTCCTGACAGGGTAGRCTGCAGCATCTGCATCAAAACCAGCCCTCAGTCTCTTCTTGATCATCTTCATCAAAACCAGTCTCTTCTCTCCCTGTTTTGGAAGACCACCCCTTTGACAAGCAGTGAAAGATGCTGTAMATCACAGCAGCAGGTGTGAACACCAGATAACCACAGATGAGATACATATGTCCACACACAGTTCAAAGTCCTGTCTGAAAAGCCTGTCAAMCTCTCCCAACCCCAGGATGCTGAAACCCTGTTTTACACAGACAAAGAAATCTCAGCCTCCRTGGGTTGCTTCAATCCATGGGAAATTTCAAAGGTACAACAATGGGAGTAGGCTGCCTCTGTGGTGCAGAATTCTGTGATCGTACAAGTTCATTAGGACAGGACAAAAGGCTTAGTCAACAAGGGAAACTAGACAGAAATGGATAAATAGGAATAGCATTGTTGACTGAGGGAAGCCAAGGCAATTCCTCTYTTTCTGTTTTGATTGAGAGAAGCCAAGGTAATCCCTTTCTAGCTGTTTTGAAAGAAGACAGTGCCAGCTCTGTTTCAGAAGAGGAAGACAACGCACAAATCATGAAATATCAGTGTCATTTCTGGGTGCTCCACTGCCTTTTAGACACTGCAGCTCAGATTTTGGGAAGGCTGCCCACACCCAGCCACTAGCAGGCTGGGGCCATCTGTGACTCCCCCAGAGCTCTGTCAGCACACGTCAGTCCTGACTCACGGCGTTTCCCATTACTCCAGTTCTGTGTCTCACACAGTTCAGKCTGTGAGAGCAAATCTCACCACAGCAGCAGAGTCTTCATGAAAAGCTCCAAAGAGCCAATGCCCTTTACAGCAGGAGGCAGGATTTGAATCCCAACCTTGAGACTGTAAGTCTTGACACACCAATTCTGTGCTTCACCCATTCCCACAATGATCCTCCAAGACACATTGAGAATGAGYAATTTTCAACTCTTACAATTTTATTTTTAGCATAAATACTACCCTAGCAGCCTCATGGTAGCACACTGCTACCATAGCAATACATTACAGTTTGGGACAAYAACTACAGAATCCTAGAGTACTTTCTTACATACTTTATCTCTGAGAAGTCTCCAACTTTGACATAGCATGACCATATCTTGCAAAAAAAAAAGCAACTTCATGATGGACAGCAGCAAGCCAGTTATCTCCACTTCACTCTAAGAGCTTGTACCCTCTCCCTGGCCCACCTGAGAGCTGCAACAGTGAAGAACCTGCACACTGAACAGCATCTCACACACACAAAACCCAGTGCAGGAAACACACCCATCGGCACCACTGCAATGTCCCACAGAGCTGACAGAGCTGCACAGGTTCCCCAGCTGGGAAAGGAGGCAGCCCTGCCTCAGTGCCAAGGCCAGTGCTGCCCAACCACTGCACACTCTCCCAACCTTGACAGCACTCTGTTAATGCCGGGTCAGAGCCATCTGCTCGGCAGCCCACGGAGGGGGTCTCGCCCTTGCTTTGAAGTGGCTCTCAACCACTTATCAGCTTTATGCAAAGAGTGAGTGACATTATCTAATTGCCAACTAATTTCCATAATTACTGACTAGCACGCTCTGCATGCAGGGTTAATATCTTTGCAAACGTCTCGAAACACACCTGCTTCAGAAAGAGGGTGAGAAGCTGTTGCTCTGCAGCTTATTTACCCAACTGCACAGAAAGGTTGAAGGAGATGGGTTTGTCACTCCCTGCCCTGTCTCCTCCACCACCTCCCTCTCTGGCTGCTAATTGCTTAGGGATGGACTTATTTGTATCTGAAAGTGTCATTTTCAGCACAAAGAAGAACAGAGTTAAATTAATTTAAAGAGAGGCTGGCTTCCCTTGCAAACCCCAGCCACAGCAGCCCAGTGCAAACCCGTGAAAGTTTCGTTATTCCACTCCAGTGTGCCAGACAAAATCCCACTGATACTGATGGGAAACGTTTACAGTCCACCCAGCCTGACACCCTCTTCCAYAACCAGAACTATTCACTATGCCACACTTTGTGTGGAAGGAAAATATTCATTGGTCACCTAAGAGCCATGTGTTTAATAACCCATGTGAACTCACTTTTGTTCTTTACTTCACTGTAAAACAAGTAAAATCCCATTGTTTTCTTTATTCCCCAGGCCCTAATGAAGCAGCAGAGTTTTAGGAAGGGGTAAACAGAATCCTAATTTGGCTCTGCCTCCACGTGTCTTCCCACAATTGGCCCAAAGCCCAGCAATCAAATCATTACAGCTCTATGACATATGCTGCTCAAAATCACACAGCAAAATTTACCCTCAATAATTTATATTAAAAGTCAAGAGAAATGTGGAATGAATAGTATTTATTCACTCATCCAGCTGTGAACAATGGGCTCTTTTTGGCTGGTGCTCTGAGATCCTTCTGCCTGGTCTATACCCAGTTGAATTGTGRCTAAAGACAAAGGGTCAAAGAATAACCAAAAAAATAACCCTTCCAATAAAAAGTGCAGATATAAAACACGTGTGCTGCTATGGTCACTGTGGATAAAAAGGAACACAGAAATCCTTCCATCACACAGCATCCTCAGCAAAGATGCATGGAGACATGTTTACAGAGAACTGAGGGGGGACATGGAGCGTTTGAAATTCATGAGACCAGAGAAAACCACAGGAGCTAATTTAGTTTTTAATTCCTCCASCAGCATTTGCATCTCAATAATAAATCTGGACTCATAACCTTGCTGGGATGGTGAAGACTCTAAGTGGTGCCAGGGAAGCTGAGCTGAAAGAATTAGGATGAAGAGAGAGGCAGAGATCTTCTGTCTTCACACAATTCTATGGTTCTTATCTAGGGAGATTCCAGAGCCACTACACAGCTCAGAAGTGTCACAGRTAAGGC